AAGGAGAGGGTATAGGGAAACAGGGCCTTCCGGGCCCAAAATTTGACATACTCGAACCATTTGTCGGGGTCTTATTACTCTCAAATTTGGAAAATGAAACTTTTGCTGTCGGTAACGGTTTTCATTGAAAGTTCGAATTTTGACAGATTGTTATGTAAAAATCAAAGTTTTTGTGATACTAGATAATCTTGAGACCCTTAAGGCCAAAAAAGGGTGCAGTTCGACCCGTAATATGTGGTTTAAGTATTACTCTCTTTACAATTCTGTGACGTAAAGCCTTTTTACCGATTAAATAGACCATTTTGCCTTTTTCACGTTGATTTCGCCAAGAAATGCCCCATATCGCTGAAACGGTCCAAGGAGCAAAACGGACGAAATTTTCGCCCACAGGGTTCTACTTTCAGTAGTTATCCCTTAGGAGCCCATTAAAAAATATTTGAAAAAAATAATATTTTGCGACCTGTGGTTTTTGATTTTTTTAAAAGTCAATTTTTGAGCTACAATGCTCATCTTCGAACTCGATCTGTCTTTTTGTGATACAAAACGACCCTCAAATTCCCACATCGCTATTTCAATTCATTCTCGAGTTATCGTGCGGACAGACAGACAAACACACAAACTGAATGAAACTTTTCGGGTCAGTGGAGTAATGGGCTTCGCTAATCGCTTAGCCAATCAACTTAAGGGCCGTTGCGGCAGCACTAAAAAGTGTCCGATCGGTCTAAAAAAAAGTAATTTCTTTCCATCAAAAGAAACAAAGTCTGACCCTAGGACCTTTAAAAATCGGGGGGGGGGGGCAATCGAGCTCAGAAATGTCCTATCAAACATCTCATAAAACCTTGGTCGAAAACCGTGCCTTGCCATGACGCATGTGTGACCCCTCTGACCCTTGCTTTCTAAGGGACATGACGCGTCGTACTGTTTTCAGTGAAAATGCACACCGAATACCTTTCGCCAAGAACTTCCAGCATACAAAGCATCACGGATGGCGAGAGAGATGGGCCGCTGACGCAGCATTTACGATGGTGGCTGAAACACATTTCACCTGGACGCTTGAACAACCAAACCCACCGACTGCTAATGTTTATAAGAGGCAGCAAGGTGTTTAGTGATAAGTCAATTTTCTTTTTCGAATTCATGGAGGAGGTAGTTTGCTTAGGGTATGGTTGCCTGCATATGGTTTTAAACAGTCACTACCTGTTTGCGCTCGAATGGTGCCTCCACAACCAACAATGAGGGATGAGCCTAGTAAGAACAAGAAAAGAAGATGGTGGCGTAGCGTAGCGCGGACCCATAACAAAGCGACATAACCTGGTCACGAAATTCTTCCAAATAGAGGTTTTGTTGCAGTTATCGGATATATTTCTGTTGGTTATACGCTAGAACATATTTAAAAGTAATTTGAAAGACACCACTTTAAATATAAACGCAATTCCATGATGCAGCTTTCTGCTTTGTTATGGGTCCGCGCTACCCTACGCCACCATCTTCTTTTCTTCTTCTTACTAGTCTCATCCCCAGTGGCGCCCAAACTATGGTCCACGCGATGCACGCGCACAGGTACAAACGAGGGGGAAACGACTGTTAAACTTTGTGTCAGCCGGATTACGGATTACCCGGATTACCTCCGGAGTGTCCTCCGGATTACGTTGCTTTTTCTCTAGGATTATCCCGGATTACCCCAAAATTTTCCCGGATTACGGCAGATTTTTGAGAATTTCCTCGGATTACCCCTGCCGGATTACCAAACGGCTGTCAGCCGGATTACCTTAGTCGTTTCCCCCTCGGGTACAAATCTATACAAGGTAGGTACATGAGAGGGAGAAAAGAGAGGGAGAGAAAGGGGAGAAAGAGAAAGGAGAGGAGAGAAGGAGAAAGAGGAGGAAGGAGAGAAAAGAGGAGAGGAGAAAAGGAAAAGAGGCAGAAACAGGAGAGATT